TACTTTGATTCTTTTTATTTGAGCATCTTTTCATCTTTATGCATGTTTTCTTGCTCTTTTATCCTAGCACCCCTTCAAAAGCCAGCATAAGGTATACATTCCAAGTAATAACAGGACTGGGAGACGGCATTTCTCTAAGTGGAAATGTGAGTAATGAGAAGAAAAATATCTTGATTGTCAGAAACAAATGCACTTTCTAATTGCTTCCTGGTGGTTAGTCTTTTAAAGGGGCTGCAGGAATTGTCTGCTTGTGTGTCTATTGAGGTGCCATTACATGTAGTTAAGAGGCATTAATTTCCATGGGTGAATTATGGGGCTTGATTACAGACAGCCTGCAGACCAAAGTCGAGTTGAATTCATCAGTTCTGTTCACTGGTCTGTTCCTTTCCCAGTGGGGTACTTTTACACAACTAAGAAATTGATTTACTTAGTTTTTTCTTCTGAAAAATGGGAATAGCAATATTATTTTTATTGCAGCTTTCAAATATTAAAATTAGTCCAACCAAATAAAAGTTGTAGCTGCATTGCAATATTAGTAAAATTAATTTGATGAATATTTCTCTCTCAGTTCCTCTCTGCCCCACACAACATACTTCTTTACCTGAATTAACCAAGTTAACTGGCTGTTTTGCCATTGTAGAGACCCAACTTCTTAATAGAATTACAACCCCAATTGCTGTGGATTAAGGGCTCTTAAAACCTTAAAAATGTTTAGAACTTTTAATACTGACTGGAATAGCTTTCTTTAAAAATGATAGAATCATATCAGATCAACTTTTTCAGGATGGTATGAGATTCAATAAAAGTTCACTTTGTGTATTAGTGGGTTAAATCATATAGTTTTATATATTTTGACTAGATGTGACTTAGCCTGCTGTAGTGATAGATAGCACTTAAAGCTTGAAGACCTGGGTATGACTTTTGCTCTTTTCTAATTATGTGATCCCCCCAAACCCAACTATACTGAGTCTTGTCTGTGAAATGGGCCAATATTTGTTCTCCCTACCTCCTCGGGGTGCTTGTAAAATTAAAATGATGTAATGGATAGAGACAGTGTTTGAAAATTGTGAAAAACCATACGATGTGATTTTAAAAGAAAATTTAGACACATTCTGTTTTCACTGCTACTGTTTAATAACAGTTAAATGTTCATTGTTTTACATATTGGAGTTTATGGCCAATACAGGGAAGAAAAAAGGAAAAGAAGGTATAAAGTTTGAACAAGCAGATTTAATCAACAAACTAAAATAAGAGATGTCAGCAAAGATGATGAATACCTGATAAGTTTTTAAAAATTATTAGTTTTTATCAACTTTAGCAAAACCATCTAGAGAATAAGATACCATTCTTAAACTATAAAGTATGTAAGAAATAATCAAACAAAGGCTTCTCTGAGAAAATTTTAAAAGAAGAGCTAAATAACTGGAAAGATATACCACATTTTGATATGTAAATATGTTAATTTCCCTGAAATTAACCTATAAATTCAATGTCAAAGTTATGGCAAGGTATTTTTAAGGAGCTCAACATGCTTATTTTAAATTTATACAAAGAAGTAAAAGTTCAAGATGCATGGGCCAATTTAGAAAAAGAAGAACAAAGAAGAGGGCTTCACCCGCCCAGAAAGAACCAGTGGGGAACTGGTGCAGGAACAGTCAAACAGATCCATGGAAAAATACAGAGAATCAGAAACAGATGCAAGTCTATGTAGGAACTTGCTGTGGGTTAAACATGACACCATAAGTCAGTGGAGAAAGGATGATTTGCCTAAAACTCGCTAATGGATAGTGGGAAACAGCTCATTATATGAAGAAAAATAAATTGGTTCATTATCTCAAACATACACAAAGGAGAAATCCAGTGTGAAAGTGAAATTATAAAGTGAATAGAAGATACTGGAAGTGTTAAAGATCTTCAAACTGCAAACTATAAACTGGAAATGTGATAGCTGACAAAATTTAAAAAATTAAGAAGTTCTATTAAAGGAGAAAACGATAAAGTTAACCAAAAGGTGACAGAATGAGAAACGATTTATAATATTGAAAATTTATAAGAGATTAATATCAAAAATACACAAAGAAGCCTAAGTTTTCCTATTTTTAAAATGGGGATAATAATATTAGAAAGTGAAGAGCTCAGCACAGAGACTGGCATACAGTTAATACTTACCGTTTGCTCTTACTAGTTTATATGTTCTTATCATCTGTGAGAAAACACATTTTGTGTTGAGCATTGATATATGAACCCTGAATTTCCAGTTTCTTCATGGTTTTATGTTGCTAGCTTATGGATTTAAAGAGAAATGTATGTACAAATATCTAGCCAGTCTTCATGTCCATAGCTCTGTCTGATAAAAGCCCCTAAATAAGCCAATGGTTAAAAGAAAAGTGGGGAGAATATTATTGGCAGCTCCCATGACATGGAGATGGCCAAAATGCTGCATGCACCACTGTAGCTGCAGAACCAGCTGCCAAGGACACCTGCCATGGGATGTAGCAAGAAGAGTATGCTTCATGGCTGGAGGTATAAATCGTATGACTGTCACATTCTATCCTGCTTGAGGCTATGGGGCCCGAAGATGCTGTGTCCAGAG